CTCCTGTTATGTACCCGGGTAGTCTACCATAGATCCGCATCACATTGGTTGCATATTAACCATAGCTGCCGGACCGACAGATTCTCGATTTGATTGGCTAACGGCCGAGGATCTTCAAAATTTTGGCCCACATTACAAATTAGTTATTTATTTCCAGCCGGAATTAACTTTTTAATATTTTCTTTACAAAAATAGAAATTTTCATAAAAATAAGCTCGCATTATGATAAAATTGGCCCAGGAACAATTTTCACTTAATTCCGGACTAATTTTTTGATCGTCGCTCTTAGCCAATTAAAATCGAGAGTCTGCCGGTCCAAAATTGTTGCGGCAGCTAGGGTTATTTTGGCAGCATGTTGGTAAGATATTGGAAGGTAGGTTGATATCAGCAACATAACAGCAAAATATTAGGATATCCCGATATCTTACTCTTAGTACTCTTGGCCTAAGAATAAGATATCGGGATATTCTAATATTTTGCTTTATGTTACCGATACAGACTTACCTCCCAATATCTTACCAACATGCTGCGGATCTATGGCAGACTACCGGGTACATAACAGGAGACTTGTCTCCCGGTATATACGTACCTGATATTTGTTAATTCAACCTGTGCAATGCATATCAACATTTCTGTAGCATGCCTGTGTTCTTGTGCCTTGAATCTGTAGCAACTGTTAAAAGGATTACTTCAATTAATCACTATATCTTGATCCTACTAGATAGTAAAAATGTTTATGATTATGCCCAGGATCAGGAAAGTAATGTTTATGCATGATAGGTTAGTTTTGAGCATTACATAAGTTATGCAAAGTGGATGCTTTGTCAATGGTTTCAGACGTAATGATAGTTGGGTATTAAGTAATGTAATTTAGTTGATAGATAAGGTTAAAGTAGGTTATTACTTTATTTATTATGTAACAAGCAGATAATTCATTCTCTTTATTAGTTTGAGTATTGTATTTATTTATTTTAACTTCGAAGTCAAACTCAAATAATGTCTCAAACTAGCATTAAAGCTTTTGTACCTGGACTTTAGGTTTTAGATAAGTATCGAAAATTTCAAACCCAGATATATATGCACATGCGAAAGAGAAATGCACTAACAAGATACAAGAAAAGTATGTAAGAAAAATTTTATACAAAATTTTTTATAACATTATTTAATTAAGTAATAAATATTATATTTATGAATATGTATTCAAAAAAATCGATCTATTACAAATGAATTAACATGCAAAATTATTATATGTATCGCTCTATATCACATGATTGTCAAATAGAGAGTTTCTATTGGTTAGCGATATTAAAAAAAAAATTTCCAAACCTCACTTTACTGACCCGGCCGGGATATGAAAACCAATTATATAAATTTGTGTGGCCTAATTATACGACGCAAAAATTTTAGAACCTTCTATAACACTTGTTTACAATAACTGGTAAAATTTATATTCAATATACGCCACTACTTAAATTGTAATAATCTTAATCAGAAAATTTTATATTCTTATTAAAACTATCTTTTTTAAAGCTATACATATCACAGTATTCATCATATCCCTCATTATCGTTCTCATTATCGTCATAGCTTTAACATCTTCACTACCAAGCAAACTAAATACAGACGAATTCATGAAATTGATAAAATATATTGTAGATTGGTTACCATATAATGAAATTCTGTTTTGAAGTTCTCAAATTAATTTTGTTCACATGTCAGCTTTTAAAGCTACTCGTTGTATCCGGTACAAGTCAATAGTGAAATTATGGACTGCAACCATAGAGGGGATTGTTGGTGCATATCCAAGTGGGATGGGAAATGGTGGGTCCCAAAATACTTCACTTACGGGAATATTTATTTGAAAATGTGTCAAGTTTGGTGAATTGCAGGGAGCAGGATCACGGATAGGATCTTCTGAAATTTTTTTAACATTTCCAAAATCCCATCTTTGTGTTTCCATTCCTTGACGATAAAGTTTCGCCTAATATTAAAAAAAAAAACAGATCAATTAAATATCAAAAGATGCAATGTTTGA